GAGGTAAAATAAAGACTTTGATGGCCATTGCCATCTATGAAATGGCCTAGAGGGAGGGACTATTATCTCCTCAGAAGTCTCAGTAGCAAGGCTTGATACGAAGAACGAAGAGGTTGCTTTAGACGAGGAGGAACTGGAGGAAAGACAACAAGGTTTCCATGAGCTATGGGAAATTATGCAAGAAAGGGAAGTTATTTGGAAGCAGAAATCAAGAAGTAATTGGGTAATTAAAATTGGGGGATGCTAATACTAGATTCTTCCACAAAACTGCAAACGATAGAAAGGCACACAATGGTATTACTGGGCTTTTGTGTGATGGCAAATGGGTTGACGAACCAAAAATTGTCAAGAAAGAGGTTGTTATGTACTTTTGAAGATTATTTGTTGATGAAACATGGAGTCGTCCAAAGCTTGCTGGAGTTGTTTTCAAAAGGATTTCTGAAGAGATGAGAATCTGGTTAGAAAGACCATTTTCCATGGAAGAGATTGAGGAGGTATTGAAGAGCTGTGAGGGATCAAAAGCACCGGGACCATTTCCTCAAATTTGCATGGAATTGTATGAAGGAGGATTTTCTGAGATTTTTTAAGGAATTCCACCAGAATGTCAGGTTAGTGAGAGGATTAAATTCGTCTTTCTTAACTTTAATTCCTAAGAAGATGAATCCTGTTGAATTAAAAGAATAGAGTGAAAAAAAAAAAAAAAACCTGAGAGTTAAAATTCAAATATTTCAATACTATTTTATTAAAGAATAAAGTGAGATCATTTCGTTCGCAACACACAAATTAATTGTGATACACGTGAATACCACCATGTGGCTCGATGAGTTGTACGTCTCAATACCATTCTATTAAATAATAGAGTGAGATCATTTCGTTCACAACACACAAATTAATTGTGATACACGTAAAATTCACCATGCGGTCCGATAAATCGCACGTCTTAATACTATTCTATTAAATAATAGAGTGAGATCATTTCGTTCATGATACATAAATTAATTGTGATATGCGTAAACTCCACCATGCGACCTGATAGGCAGTACACCTCAATGAGGGGGTGAAAGATCACTTATTTTAGTATCGAATCCTCAATTACTAATAATTGTTAACTTAATTATTAATCATTAACTTGTAAAAAAAAAAAAATTGTGA